TTTTTTTTTTTTTTTTTTTTAATTTTGGCTTTCTTGAGACAGGGTCTTGCTATGCCGTTCAGGCTGGCCTTGAGCTCACTTATGCAGCACAGACTGGTCTTGAACTTGTAATGATCCTCCTGCCTCAGCCTCCTGAGTACTGGGATTACAGGCGTGCGCCACCATGCCCGGCAGCACTTTCGATTTGCAGGGTGAAGTAGAGCTCTGGAGATCTGTGGCATAGTGATGTGAACATACTTAACATTACTCAACTGTACACATAAAAAGCGCTTCAGGGCTCTGTGGTAAGGTACATGCCTAGCATGTGGAAAGGCCCGGGGTTTTAGCTCCAGCACTGTAAAACAAACAAAAAGGGTTGCAATGATTTTTCTTTTACTTTTTTGCAATGCTGCAGCCAGAACCCAGGGCTTCTGTGCATGTTTGTCTAACAAGGGCTCTACCACTGAGCTACACCCCTAGCCTACAGTAGTTAAGTTTTACATTTTACAGGGTTTTTTTTTTTTTTGCAGAGGCATTGGGTGGTACCAGGAGTCAAACTCAGGACCTTAAGCTTGCCAGGCAAGCACTTGTGCCACTGAGATATATCCCTAGCCCAGAGAATTCTTTTTTTTGCTTCTGTTTTTTTGTTTGTTTGTTTTTTGCCTTTTTGAGACAGGGTTTCACTATGCTGTTCAGGCTGGCCTTGAACTCATACTGTAGCCCAGGTCGGCCTTGAACTCACACTGATCCTCCTGCCTCAGTCTCCGGAGTGCTGAGGTTACAGGCATGCGCCACCACACCAAGTCCTTCAAGTCTTTTTTGAGGGGGAGGGGGAATACTTGGAGTGAACCCAGGATGTTTGCATTGATCTACATCCTTAGGCCTTTTTTTTATTCTGAGGCAGGGTCTCACTAAATTGCTAAATTGCCCCACTGGGCTCCAATTTTCAATCCTCCTGCCTCAGACTCCCAGAGTGCTGGGATTATAGGCCAGCACCACCACACCAAGTACATAGTTTATAATTTTTTTTTCTTCCGGTACCAGGAATCAAACTCATGACCTTGCGCTTGCCAGGCAAGCACTGTGCCACTGAGCTAAATCCCCAGGCCCATATTTTACAGTTTTTAAAAACAATTGTGAAAGGTATTGTTCTCAGCTGTGATCACGACCTAAAAGGAGGAGAGGTGGTAGCTGCCCTCAAGGGTTGCAGATGAAGTCCAGAAGTGTGAGCTGGTCTAAGTTTCCTCCCCAGGCCAGAGCCTGTTTGAGCTGGTTTTCTTGCCAGTCATTGTGAGGATGAGAGGGGACAGTAGTGTCCCTCAAGCCACTGGGACTGAGGTGAACCCCTGCTTGCTGAGGTTTGAGGCCTTCAGCTGACAAATAGTCTTGTGTGCACATTATGGCCCCCAAGGAGTCCATGTGCTGAGGGCAAGGCAACCCTAAGTGTGCCAGGGTGGGACAGCATTTGGGCCTACCCTTTCCTATTCCCAGCTTCAGTCCCAGGTACAACAACCCTGTCACCCCAATTTACCAGCCTGCCATGGAACCAGCTGGTAGCTCTGATACTTCTGCGCCAGGGGTGCTTCCTGTCATTTGTGGTCATACTGCAGAAGGCAGCCCTTCTGGCAGCATTCCTGGACATGGGGAACTAAAAGGGTATCAAACAGAAGCTGAGAAGGATGAAGACCACATTTCATTGCCACCTTCCTGGAGAGAGTCCCCTGGAGGACCGTGGGAAAAGGCTACTCCTCTAAAGTCGTGTAACTTTAGATGTGGGAGAACCCTCTGAACCTCAGTAAGCTCTTCTGGTTTTGTTTTGGGTTTTGGAAACAGGGTCTTTTTCAGACAGGGTTTCACTATGCAGTTCAGGCTGGTCTTGCGCTCACTTTGTAGCCCAGGCTGGTCTCGAACTCAAAACGATCCTCCTGCCTCAGCCTCCTGAGTGTTGGGATTACAGGCATGTGCCACGATGCCCGGCCTAGGAGATAGGGTCTTGATATGTAGTTCAGGCTAGTTTTGAACTTACTACGTTAGCCTACACTGGCCTCAAATTCACTGCAATCCTCTTGCCTCAGCCTTCCAAGTGCCGGAATCACAGGTGTGCACTCTTGTAAAATGGGGAAATTAAGGAAATATCTTCCCAAGGGGATTCCTCACAAAACTTCTCGGGAAAAGGGACAGCTACCTGTGGGATTCCTAGCTGGGAGACCCCCCACCTAACCTTCACAAAAGGCTCACAGCAACACAGCCTCAGCACAGGGACCCCTGTAGGGAAGATTTCACTGGGCAGACTTTGAGGCCCTGCTTCTCAGCTCTGGCTCTTGGTTGGACACTCTGTGGCCAGACCAGCAGTCCCAGAGCTGTGCCTACCCTCAAGAGTAAAGACACACCTTACCTTCCCCAGTCAGGAAAATGTTTCTATAATCTCTGAGGATCCCCTGAGCAGGAGACAGAGAGAAGAAGTGACCTCACATTTCCCTTAGTTGTATATGTGTCTGTGTGTGTGTGTGTGTGTGTGTGTGTGTGTGTGTGTGTGTGTATTTGTCTTTTCGAGACAAGGTCTCACTATGCAGTTCAGGCTGGCCTTGAGCTCACTTATGCAGGCCAGGCTGGTCTCGAACTCGAAACGATCCTCCTGCTTCAGCCTCCGGAGAGCTGGGATTACAGGCATGCGCCACCACCCCCGGCTCTTAGTTGTGTTTTAACTTCTAAAATATTCTGTTTCTTTTCTATGAACATTTTAATGAAGGGTTGAACATAAAATACAAAAATAACATTCTGATTGTTTTTTTAAGATGCAGACTTTTCTTGAGATTTTCATACAAGGCAGGGCATAAAGAATGTTAACCTGTTGAAGAAAACACGTATTCACCCCAGAAAAAGGCACTTCTCCAAATGAGTATCATAGTTATCCATGACTTTGAAACTCTCAGACATCAGCCTGATTTGTTTTCTTTTGGAAACAATTCAACTCAGATTTTAACCCTGCTGCTCTTAGGGGATGGGAACACACCTGGCATGCCATCAGCTGAAGACAGTGGTGCCTGGAGCAAATGTTGCTTAAGGAGGTGGCCAGGAGGGATGCTGTATGAGGGTGTACGTGCTTGCTTCTCCTTCTGAGGGTGTGGGCAGCCAGAGGCTACCACTCCTGCAGCAAGCTTTGCTCACTGTCTGTGGACAGATAAGTCATCCAGCAGGTGGGCTGGGATCAGGCCTCTGTGGCCACCCGACTCACCATAATAGAATCCCTTATCATCCACAGGCCCATAGACCGTGACCACATCCCCAACCCTCAGAGCCAGTTTGCCCTTTGCCCGGCCCCCTGCTTTCCTATCCCTGGGATCATAGTCCAGAGCCACCATCATGGTCTTTGGGGTCCACAGTGTGGGTCTCCTGGAGTTCCCTTGGGGACTGAGGAAGGAACTCTGGGAGCTGGTGAACCCCTCCAAGTCCTTAAGGCGGGCCACAGAAGGCAGGTGCTCTTGTGCTGGCAAATGCCACCTCCTGGAAGGCTGTCCTGTGCCCACTTCCACCTCAGCCACCAGGTGCCCAGGGATGTTGCCCACTTGACCATTGCACTCGCCATGGTAGAAGCCACGGGGGTCGTGAGAGCCCCATACCCTCAGCAATTGCCCTTTCTGGAAGGCTAGCTCCTCCTCTGCAGCCTTGGGGTTGGTAGACATTGCTAGGGGGTCATAATCAAAGAGGGCCACAAATATCCTGACTGGAGTGTTGGCCTCTGGCCCCAGCTGTGCAGGGCCACCCGAGGGCATCTTAATGATTTTGCTGGATTGAGCTGGACATAGCACCGAAGCGGGCTTACAGAGCTGCCACTCTTTCTTGCCCCCGCGAGCCTGCTGTTTCCTACTCTGGGATCTGGGCTTCTCTCTGTGCTCTCGCTTCTCTGTGTACCAAGGATCCAAGCACACCTCCTCCTCCAATATGTTACAGGAGTCAGCCACATACTGCTGGCTGGTGCCCTGCTGGGAAAGTGTCAACACTTGGGCATCTTGCTTTCGCCTCAGGGCCTTCTCAAGAGCAGGCTTCTCCTGACACAGCTCTTTCCTGGGCCTACACGTAGAAGACAGATGATGGATGAATCCTGGAGATGAACTTCTGCGGGCACCCATGTGCTCACACTGGTTTTCTTCCATCACAGACTGGCCACTGGACAGAAGTGGCCTGTGGTTCTGAGGACTCTTCGGAAAGAGCAGGTCCTTTCTGCAACCCTTCTGGGCCTCTGTGGACCCTGGGGCTTGCCTGCCAGCCTCTTCTGAGCTCAGGTTGGATGATGGGGGCTGCCTCCTCAGGGGTTCTTCAGGCAGTACTTCTGGAAACTTGGCCTGAGGTTCCCCACAGCTCCCAGGGTTGTGAGGGCCTGCCTTGGTATTCAAAGAAGCCAGCGCCATCTTCTGATGGTAGACTCCGAAGGAGGATGGGTCACCACAGGTGTTGCTAAAGGGAGGAGTCCCTGGTAATGCGTGATAAGTGAAGCAGTCTTCAGGGATCTGAGCTGGCACTGAATCCAGAGACTCACCACACAGTGACATGGTTCTCACTGAGACCTTCTGGCATGTGAGGGGTACCTGCAGCTGGGAAAGTTCCAACAGAGTGCTCCCTGCAGTGGCGTCAGAGACCTCTGCGACCTTGAGTCCATCTGCATACACAGCGTAGCCAGTGACTTGCACTCCATTGGAGGATCCAGCTGAGTCAATAGTCACAGGGATCCAGCTGACCACTAGGAAGCCTGGCAAGGTGTGGTGCTCCACCAGCACATCCAGCGGAGGGTCTGGGGGTCCTGCTAAGGGTGTGTTGAAGGTGATGGTGGAGGACATTGTTTCCCAGGGCACCTGCTGCAAGTCCCAAGGCAGCTTCACCTCCACTCGAGCCTGATATTGTGTGCCGGGATGTAGGCCTTCAAAGGTATAGCAGCTCACACCTGAGGGGATCAGGGCATGTTCCTGGTCATCAAGGTACACCACGTGGAGGTGTCTGCTACTGCTGTAGACCCAGGTGATTTCAGCGGATGTGGCAGTGACGTTCTGCAGGTGTAGCTGCATCGGTCCCACACAGGACAATCCCTTGGTCCTCAGAGGGGGTGTGGAGAAGCTCTGCTCTTGCCTACTCTGTGATGAGTCCAGCCAGCAGGCCTCTCTCTTGAGCTCTAAAATCTCTGTTGCCTTTTCAGTCTTGGGACCCTCTCTTCCCATCTGGTATAGTCCTCTATTCACCGATTCCTGGCCCTCCCCAAGTAATAAGTAGGCTTCCTCTAAGGCTTTGTTCTGCCCAACAGGTAGTATAGTGGGTCCTAAGTGATTTGGGGACTCAGGTGACTTGGGAGACAAGTCGCTTGTGTTGGGGTTGTCTGGAATCTGTTCTAGCAAGTTGGAGGGCACCAGCCCTTGCCGGCCATCCTCAAGCTCGCCTTCATAGAAACCGTCCTCACCCATGTCCCCACATACATACACATAATCCCCAGCTGTGAGAGGTAGCTCATGCTCAGGGTGCTCATTGGGTCCCTCAAATGGGTTGTAGCTATATTTAGCCTGGAAAATCTTGAGCTTGGAGGTGGAGGGTGCACCAGGGTCCTTCGCTTCCAGTGGGAGAGACACACTGTCTGACTCCAGATCATCTACCTCACTGGCTGTGTCCATTTCCAAAGTAAGGCAAGATGGCACAGTGGCCCATATGGACTCTACCTCAGAGGAGGAAGTAGACTGGGAGCTCGTTTTGTTGGTTTGATGCCTGGAGTCCAGAGGCTGGTTGGCAGGGACTCCCTCTGACACAGGGTGGGAACTCACTGGTTCCCCAAGGGCAACTGGACTCTCCTGCAGGGTAAGACAAACAGGGATCTGTTCTTTGCTAGGCTGTGATGGTGCATAGTCTTGAGTCTGTGGCTTGAACTTTTGCCTTCCTCTACCTGTGGCTTGGGTGGCCTCCTGTGGCTGCTGGGGAGGATGGCCGGGCTGATCTTGCAATGCTTGCATCTCCTTTCGGGCAGCCTGGAGGTCGCTCAGGGCCTTCTGCAGGTCGTGCTGCAGCTGCTGCTGCCTATTCTGCTCGAGTGCCGCCTGTTGCAGCAGCTGCTCTGCCAGAAGGCCGGCGGCGTCGCGCTCCTGGCACGCGCGGCCCAGCTGCCCGCGCACATCGCTGTTCTCGGCCGCCACCTTTCGTACCCAGTGGGCCTGGGCCTGCAGCCGCACGTTCTCCTCCGCCAGCCAGGCGCCCTTCCAAAGCGCTGCTTGCAGCTGTGCCTCCGCCTCCTCACCGCGCCGCTGTGCCGCCGCCGCCTTCGAGCCCAATGCCTCACACTCGTGTCGTAGTGTGTCCAGCTCGCGCTCCAGCGCCTGCACCTGGTGTCGCGATTCCTCGCAGGGTGCGCTCTGGCTGTCCGCTTTCGCCAAGGCGCTGCCCTGCTGCAGCGTCAGTTGCCTCTGCAGGCGCAGAACTTCCCGCTGGGACTCACGCTGCAGCTGGTCCAAGTCGCTGATGTTGACCCACTGCGAACCAGGGACGCCCCCTGCAGGATTCGAAGGGCTGTCGACGCCGGTGGCGACGCGCGCCTGCAGCAGGTGGCACTCCCGCCTCAGTTCTTCGATCTGCTTGTCCTTGGCTAGCAGCGCGCTGGCCTGATCCGACAGGTCCCTGGCGCGCTGGCTGGCAAAGGCCTGGCACAGCTCCAGACCGGGGTGGTTCTCACCCGGCACGGGCGCGCTCAGCGCTCGCAGGTTGGTCTCCTGCAGTTTGCGGGCACGGTCCTCCAGGCGCCGCGCGAGGCCTGCCAGCTCCGTGTGCTTCATCTTGAGCCGCTTCATCTTCTCGTCCTCCTGATTGGGGCCGCCACCGCGCCGCAGCTGCAGGTTCTCCTCAAGCAGTTCAGAGCAGCGCCGTGTCAGCTCCTGCAACGCTTTGCTCAGCTCCGAGTTCCGCTTCACCAGTGCACAGTAGTCGGGGCCCGGCGGTGAGGGCATCAGACTTTCTGGGGACTGGTTTCCAGAGCATTCTCCGCGCGGATCTTTAGGTTTTCTGTGTGCCCTAGGCGGCGAGGAATTTGGGGAGCCTGCGACGAAGGTGTCCGTCGAGGAGAATGGTGCCTCGGAGTCGTTAAAGGCCTGGGGGCAACTCAGCGCGCTGTCGACCGAGCAGCAACGCACCGTTGCCAAGGAATCCAGGGAGCCGGCGCGCGTGAGGAGCTGGCAGTCTGGGGAGCTGGAGCGCGCCTCGGGCAACCTCTCCAAAGAGCGGGAGCGAACTCGGACCAAGGTGCCCAGGCGGTCGGGGGGCCCGAGTCGAAGCGGGCGCTTTGGGGTGCTGCGAGCACTACGGCGGGTTTCGAGGCGTGTCTCCTCGGAGGAGTTCGCGGCCTGGGGCTCTGGGCTCCCAGGTAAAGCGGGCTGCCAGCGGAAGTGCTCCAGGATGTACTTGAGGAACAGCTGGCGCTCCACGTCGAGCGCCGCCTGCAGGTGGCGGATGCGCGCGGCTTGCTCGCCGTCTGTCTCCCAGCGAAGCTGCCGCAGCACTTCCTGCAGACGACAGTGGCACTGCTCGGCGGGGACCTCGGGCGCCCTGGTGCGGCTGCAGTAGCCCCGGTTCACCAGCTCCAGGGCCAGCTGGCGCTGCAGCTCACGGGCCTGGCGCACCATGCTGTCGCGCTCGCGGCCCAGCTGCTGCTGTAACTGCCGCATCTCGGCTTCCTTCCAGCGCATCAGCTGACGGATTTCGGCCTCACGCTCCCGCTGCACCTCCACCTGCAGCTGCCGCAGCTCCCGGAAGCGCTGTGCCTCCCATTTGGAGCGCAGGTGGTCCGCCAGCTGCTGCTGCTTTCGCTCGGCCACCTCCCGCAGCCCGCGCTCCTCGGCGGTGAAGCGCTGCCGCTCTGCCCGCCCACGCGCGCGCTCCTCCTCCAGCTCCGCCCGAAGCTTCTCCACCTCCCGCCTGTGCTCCTCCAGCACTGCCGCCGCCTGGCCGGGGCTACCTGGCTTTTTGGGTGACGTGCGGCCGCCACCCAACGGGGTGGGTGAGTCTTCGGTCATTGTGGCCACAGCCCGGCCAGACACCTGACCTAGCCTGGCAGGCCACAGCTCGCCAACGGCCGCCGCCCCGGCCGAGGCCAACCGCCCCGCGCGCCCCTTCCGGTGCCCTTGGCAGTCTCCTCGTGCCCCTTCCGCCTCGGGGTATGTTCCCCCACACCCCTGCCACGGTTGCTTAGGCCAAGGCTGAGCTCCCCACAGACCTGCTCAAAGTGACCCCTGACCCTGGGTGTCTTTCTGTCCCCATACCTTTCTTGCTACGTGGCCCCTTTACCTAGCCTGGAACTCACCTAGACACTGTCCAATCCCTTCCAGGCCAAGGCGTCTCATGGGAAGCAAGGATGCTGTCCCTGGGCCTGGAAGGTGTGTGGGTCACTGTCACAAATGGGGTACAGGTAGACCTGTCGTGGCCCTGCCAGGGGTTCAGGTAGTATGTTTGATCTAGGTAGCTGGAAACAACAGCAGGTTATACCTAGACTTGGAGAAGTGTCCTGAGCCCTTAACTGGAGGCAGGTGCCTCTGGTATCTATTCTACAGCCCTTCTCTTCCAAGACTTGTGAAGTGCTAAGTACATACTTAGATTATGTATTGAAACCTCTTAGCCAGGCATAAAGGTACATGCCTATGATCCCAGCACTTGGGAGGCTGAGGCAGGAGGATAGCCAAAAGTTCAAGGCTAGCCTGGGCTACATAGTGAGTTCAAGGCCAGCCTGCAATACATAGCAAGACCCTGTCTCAAAAAGCTGAAACCAGGCCCAGGATATAGCTCAGTGGCACAAGCCCCTGAGTTCAATTCCTGGTAC